TGTCCTTTTTTTGCACAGCACACAAAAAGTTTCGACATTTGCTTAAGAATATATTATGTTCTTAATTATTATTATTGTTTAATACTATATATAAAGAACTTTACTTGGCACACATATGCTGCGCTCATACATGTATGAATGTATGTATAATAGCATGTATTACTTTTGTACAAATACCACCTCCACACAAGTAAACAATGTAAACATCATTTATTTTATCGCACTTCACTAGTCATAATGTAGGTTTCATCAAAGCGAGTGGCACCTGCTGATATATAGTGGCAGCTCCTGCTGTCTGCAACGTTTTCACTTACTTAACTACACACACATACACACATATACACATATAAAATGCTTGAGTCCAAATTGCCTTGCATATTTTTATATCTACAATATGTCTATAGTAAGATTCATTTGCTGCCAACACTCCATTGAACTACAACGGCTTCATTCAACAATGAGTTTTGCTTTGAGATAAACTTTTTTGCCTTCTCTGCTTACACGTCTTCCTCTTTTTTTTTTGCTTTTTGTTTAACGGCATACAACAAACAACCATGCTGTGATTCACTTTGTTCCTTTTGTAAGAACATATACTATATGGCATGTAATGAAACAAAGCATATAAAAACAAAACGAAAAAAGAAGCAACAAGCAAATGAAAAATAAACAGTAAGCTGGTAACAAGGATATGCGCATAACTTTATTATTATACTACAAACTGATATTTTTTGGTTCATTTTTGTATTATTTTTTTTTGGTTTTTGTTTCGTACAGTTATGAACTGCCAGCCGCTCGTTCGCGTACAATTGTGTTAGCATACAAATGTTTGTATAAATATTCGTCATTTACATTCATTAATTTTATTTACGCGGACAGCAGAAAGCAAAAATCAGCAACTTAAAGCAATAAACAAACATAATGAATGATTTTAGTGCGCTCAACACGTGTTGTTAAATAGATTTTTTGGTCATATGCAAAAAAAAGGACATTGGTAGGGTGTAGTTATATTGCATGTAATTTGTTTGAAAGTTAACCCAGGTTTTGCTTACAAATAGCTAAGTTCATGTCGGAAATGAGAGCTTGGTTGTGATAATCGCTCAGAAGTTATGACACAATTATGGCGGGATGTTTATTTTTATATAATTCGGCCCAACTCTACCAAAGAAAGCAAAAAAGTTCCCTAAGAGAAAAAAGGACATTCAGTGGAAGTGACTTGGAAGATAGTAATATCTCTGAAACCTCGTATTTGGTTAAGGCTAAGAAAACTAAATTCATTATGCAGCGATAAATTCAAATGCTAAAAAAAGAGGTATTTTGTACTTTCAAAGCAATCATGTATATTTAAACATTTTTCATAAGCGCCATTCGTGAGCACTTTGTCTCGACTCTTCACTCAGCTAATAAAGTTCAGCACAAACTTTCAATTTCAAAAGTTTTTTCAAAAGTTAGAAAAAAGGACATTCAGCAATAGTTGCTTAGACGCGAGCGATTTGTACGAGACTTCACACAGATAAGGTATTTTAGTAAGTACGTTTGATTATGAGATCAAAAGTAGTGCTTTCATGTGAGAAAAAATACTTAGTGCAAATAGAAGAAAGGGAATAGAAAATCATTCAAAAAATATCTAAGTTAATTGGAAAAATTATTTAAAATTAACATTATATTAGCATTTTAAAAATTCTCTTACTAAACTTACTTACTTAAAGGTTAACGAAGAAACAGATTCTTTAAATCTTGATGAATATTAGCTTAAAATTGCACATATTGCGTTGAAATGCAAAATCTTCCACAAAAGGATATTCGTGAGTAACTGCAAAATTTTACCGAATTTGCTTAATATTTTATCTGTGCTGCATTTGCAGTACATTGCGTTAATTTAACTAATATGAGCACGATAACATCAACTATTATGAAACTACAACATTCTATTGTAAAACCAAAAAACCACCTATCAGCCGAGAGCAGCTTCATACAGAGCTGACTAAATGCGTTTACGTTTGAGTTTCGCAATTTAATTGAAATTATTTCCTATAGCAAAATGATTACTTAGCCGTGCACGGTTCGAGGAAAAAACATATGGTCAGGCCAAATTAACTCACTATGAATATATGTATATGCATGCGCATGCCTTTAGCAAACTAAATTTTACCACTTAAATGCCAGGTTAAGAGATTTTGCGACGAAAAACGAATAGCGTGAATATTACCACTAATATTTAAAAACAAAAAAGGGATTTGACCCAAAGCCATTAGCCGCCAGGGTAGATTTCAGCGACTTAAAGTTTTTCACATTTTTTTCGGTTTTATAAATATTTTTTATTATTATTATTTTTTACTTTTTTCATAAAAATGCCATCAACTACATTTAAGAGAACACAATGGTCGTCGATAGTGAAATACTTTATATATAATATGCCCTTTGTGGCCGCTAAAGCGATTTTCGGCCAATTTGCGGCTTTGCGTCTTAATGTTTTTCCAACAAACGGAGGGACCGACCAACAGTTTATACTCAGCCGCCCCGGAACGGTTGATGGTTTTTTATGACGAACTTTTCTTCATGTCGGAAACACACTCGCAGGGGTTGACATTCACCGCAAGTTAGCAAATAAAACCAAAATGACAAAAAATATTCAAGTAAAATTAGTGCAGCAAAAATATGAAATGCATGAAATCACTTACAACAACACAGACGTTATAATGAAATTGGTGGGTGAGTGCCTAGAAGCCATAGGAAACCCGAAAGTCATTAATATAGCAAGCGAACTAAAAAAAAAAGGACGCGCAAAATAGAAATGGAGAAAAATAGCAAGTAGTTAAAGTAGCCATGAGCAGCTGTGCGGGAAATTACAAATATTATCCTTAAGTGGGCAATCGTGGATATAAAGCAGTAAAGGATAATGTCTCCAATTGCAGTCATTTACTGTGAAAGGAAAATTTTCATGCTCTCACTTGAGCAGACTAACGTCGTGCTTGACCTACTTCTGCAGCTAAAAGCTGGAAAGACGAACATAAAAACAAAATATCTAAGAAATTTTATGAAGGGTGCAAAAAAGCTAAAGGATGATAACAAACTGCTTTCTCTTACAATTAAGTAGATAATATAATTTACGAGATATTTCGTTTAAGCCTGAATCTGATGAGTCGGTTTTCAAGGCACGAATGTAGAAGATGCTGTAGTGTGGGCATAAAAAATTTCCTGATTTTTAGGCAATTATATATCGTACCTATTGAATGTCCTTTTTTTAAAGACACCCAAAATATATGAATAATTTAAAAAATTAATTGATTTTTTCAAAAGATCAATATTTACATGCAATAATTTGTAAAAATATTTAATCACTTTCTTTTAAAGCTGTGGAGTTTAATAGTTAATTAGCTGAAAATCTTGTACATGGTTTACGGATCTTCCATTTCTTTTATTAATTTATGGCAAAGTTACATCAGCCTAATATGTCTAACACTGCTTGAATGCCTATTTTCGTCAAACGCAACATATTAAATACTTCAAAATTGCATCAATTAGTTAACAAAAACACCTAAATTAGCATAAAACCTCATTCGAGAAAGCACATTAAGCATTCCATGACAGACAATTTATTAAATACCACGCTTTTCCTTTTATTTTTATTTTATTTAATTTTTCTTTTATGTTACCATAATGTACTGCAACACTAAAACCACAATCCTTCCACACAACTCACATTACATTTCAAATTAATTGGTTGCAAAAAATTGCTTGCATATAAAAAGGATATTCGCACAGCATATGAAACGTTCATGCGATTCAGCTGAAATTTACCACAAGCATTGTCATAGCTGTGCGACGTTCACAAACCAATTTGGAACATATTTACAGCAGATGCGCTGCAAGCATTGAAGCTATTAAACTTTACAGGTATTTCATATGCTACTATTAACATGGCTACATGCATAACCACACTTGTGCGTACCCCGAGTGCCGCAGGCACTTTTTGTGTGGCAAGCAGTTTGAGCAGAAATGTTTTTAGTTTTTATATAAGTTGCAATGTTTTACGCCGCAATTCGTTTTATATACGCATACAGCTGGGAGTTACGCTATAAGCGTATCTCGGTACAGTACACTGGCTTATTGCGTTGACCTCGCCTGTATTCATTGTCTCACATGAAGCCAACTTACGAAAAAAAAGATAAAAATTTATTTCAACACATTAAAGGCAAAAGGCAACATTTCTTACTTTATCATAAATCTTTGTGGTTTTCATATAAAATAGTATTTTACGCTGAAACTTGTTGCATGTACGTACGTTCATCGCCCTAAGCAATGCTCTGAGCCCATTCTTTTTATGTGGCGCACTAATAGCGTCCTTACTGCGTATATCCTTTTTACAATTTAAATGGAAAAGCTCGAAAATCTCTTTATACTCGCTACAAATATGCTTTAAAAATGTCATAAAAGCATATTTCATGGGAGTACTTTCAATATTTTTAAAATCAAAGTGTTCTATACTGAAATTCGCAATGCGAAGATGTTTGATCTGTAGCTAAAACATACGATGCACATAGCATTTTTTCTACATACATCCTTTTTATCAATTAAAGTACAAAAGTAGAAAAATACTTACGCACAGCATGCAAATGTAGGTATTATTTGAAAGGACCTTTAATTTATACAAACGACAAGAGTTTGCGCTGAAATTCATGCGATGAACGTATATAGTTGGGGGCTTTGCTATAAATGATTTTCATTTGCATAGTAGGCTCATAACGATTTCTTTGCATATATCCTTTTTTCAGATTAAAAAAGATGTTTTTTATCTTTTTCCAAAAAACCACATATTTTACTTAAATCCATAACATGAACGTCTCTCCAATTTACATAGAAAAAATTTCTCCGAAATTTCACGCTTACAGCGCTATGCAGACAAATGTCCTTTTGTATAAATCTTCAAACATTACAACTTTATCCCTATAATCACTTTTAATAATATATAATATGCGAATAATATTTTTCCTGGTACTCACATAGCCAATTCATGCGCTCAGTATACTCCACTTTCCGCTTCAGATCCTTGACGAGCGCACGGAAATCCTCATCATTGAAATGACATTGTATGATTGTGTTATTCAACTGCACAATATTGTATTCATTGTTGCCATTACTGCCCGGTCCGCCAGCGGTGGGTTGTTGTTGTTGTTGCTGCTGTTGTTGTGATTGTGATGATGTGGTATATGGTTGTTTTGCCGTCGGTGAGGGTGTCAACGCCGGCGACGACACCAAGTTGCCATTACTCGGCGCGTCCACATGACCGCCAAGGCTGTATTTGCGCGTCGAGTCACCATAAAGCGCAGCCGCAGTTGCAGCCACCGCCGCCGTCGTTGGTACGCCTTCTACATTACTGCACGACTTACTCAATATGATCGTCGAGCGATTGGCTATGGTATTGGCAGCTAAGAGATGTTCACCAGCACCGCCACAGCTACCACGATGATAAGGAAATTTACCGCCACCAACGGTGAAGTTATTATTTTTCAGCGTTACCTGCAGCTGATTGCTTAACAGCTGCTGCTGCAGCAATTGCTGACTACTGGGATGCGCGGAGCAATCACTGGCACGCCGCCGCCGATCCATACAGCCGCCGCCTATGCCGCTGAAAGGTGGCTGCAGGAAGGCATTGCTGTAGCTGCGCTGCTGCTGATGCTGATGTTGCTGCGGTGGCGGTGGCGGTTGAGTTGACTTTTGTTTGGTTTGACTAGAAATGTTCGAGGCGACTGAGGGCGTCCCGCTGCCGCTACCCTGCTGCACCAACTCGGCAGTGGCGTCGCTGTTATTGTATAGATTATTAGCATTGCGTAAATTCGTTTGCTGCTCCACTTCGTTGGGCGCGTTGGTGTGCATTAGGTGTTGGCTGGCATTGCTGTCCGTGCTCACAGCACTGCCGCCGCTCATAATGATTAAATGTTGTGGCTGTTGCGCGGTTGCTGAATTGCTTCCGGCAATTTTACCGTTTCCACGCGTGCTGCTACCGCGTCGACTCAAGTGCCGACGTCGTATTACGGTAATACGATGCTGACGTTGCTCATAGAATTGCACCAGCAGTTCCTCGAGTACGGCAAGTGAGCGTGCGCGTGTTGCGTCGTACGCGGTGGCGCTCGTTGCGAGCACAGATGACTTACGCCGCACCGTACCAGCAGTGAATGTAGCGGAAGTCTCCTCCTCCTCCTCTTCGGCGTCTTCGACGTCCTCGGCGATGTTTTCTACAACTGCCTCGTCGTCGTCCTCGAATGAGCTAAGTGTTGGCTCTTCCTCGGCGCGTGGCGCTCGCGTTATACGTGTAACACCAACTTCCGCTTTGCAGCTGCTGCTCGCCAAAGAACTATCAGGCGTCAGACTGCGCTGACTGATTGGCGGTGTGCCTGTTGCTGTTTGCGCAGTCGTCTCGCGTTTCTTGCGATAACCAGACGCTGCTGCCGCGCCCTTACGATCCGTTTCCGGTATAGAGTGACGCAAAAGAATATCTTGCAACTGTTTGCGCTGCTTTGCCGGACTGTATGGGTTTACCAATTTGAAATCACCATAGATTTTAGCCAAAAAACGCACACGCGATGCAATGTAGCCAATTTTACGTAACGCGCGTACATCAGCGCTAACACTCGCATGCTGCGCGTGGTGTCTGCGGCGTTGTCCGCTACTGCTGCCACCGCCACCACTAACACCTGTCACGCCACTCCAGCCACTTACCGCGCTGCCGCGTCGACTGTCAACGTCTACTGATAATTCCGCGTGCGCGTGTTCGCGGCGCCAGTGAGCGCGTCGTTTGGGCGCACTCTGTAGCACGTGCGCTGGGAATGCCGGACGCGCGCGGAATGTATAAACTTCACTATTTTCGTCGCTATCGTCACTGGCGCTGCTGCCGCACGAAGTATTCGCCGCCGATGACAACGAGGTGGACGACGAAACCGAACAATCTGAGGCGCAGCTGAGTTGATAGTATTCTGCTGCCTCCAAATGTTCGGCCGCGAGGCTGAGTGTAATAGGCGTGTTGCCGGTACCAGTGCCAGTACTGGTGCTGTTACTCAGGTGTGGTGCGCTTGTTGCAGTTGCCGGTGATGTTTCTATAATTCTCGTCGCTGCTATTGTTGAAGCACTCACAGTGAATTCATCGGTTGGAGATTCAGGCTCAGTGTACGTTTTGGCGGCGCTGGGTGTGCTGTCATCACACTTATTAGCTGCCGCCTGTCCAGTTTTACTGTCTCGATCGCTCGCTGTTGACTCGGCAGTTAATGTTTTTGTGGTTGCTGTTGTTGATTTTGTTGTTGTTGTTATTGCTATTGACTCTTTGCTGCTTGCTTGTACATCAACTGTGTTGTTATCGCTAGCTGCTTCTGCAGTTGCTGTTATTGCTGTTGTTGTTGGCGTTAGTTTTGGCGGTGTTGGCTGCGGACTGCTGCGGCAGCTGCTGTCCTTGTACATTTATAAGCCAAAAAATGCCTCAAAATCAATTGCGCAAACAAGTGGGCTTGATCAGCTCGGCCAATAGTACAAAAAGAAACAGACAGCGAAGGAAACAGAGAAAGAGAGAGACAGAAAGGGAGAGCGCGGAAGAATGGACGCGTCAACTCACGTATTTACCGAACGTTGAAGTCTTTTTAAAGCCACTGCGCAGGGATGCCTTAAAACTTGCTTTCACTTTCGTTTATTTCCTTTTTATTACTTTAAATTTGCTCTATATTTTAAATATTTTTTGATGATTTTTCTGTCAAAGATTTTTACAAAATTATACTTAAAAAAAGTTTATAAAAAAAATTCTAATTTTTTCCGCATTGATTTTTGAAAATATTTTGTGCTATTTTCTTTTTCAATTTTTAACTAATTGCATAAGCTATTTTGAAAAATTATTTTAACTTTTTTTTTTTAAACAAAATTCGAAGTTTTTTTGCGATACTTATTTTATGCAACTGCTTTTAACTTTGTAAATATTTTCGAAGTATATTTTGCAAAATTTTAAAATTTATTGTGGAATAATTTTAACATTATTTTTGAAAATTTTTTTATTACTTATTTTTCAAAAGTCTTTAAATAACCTTCGAAATTTTATCTGCAATTTTCATGTTTACAAAGCGGTTTTTACTTTTCAAAATCTTTCTTTGTGGTGACCTATTTTGAAAATATTTAAAAAATTTTGGGGAAATTTTTTTGATTTAATATTTTTTGGAAATTATTCTAGAACTTGTTTTGGAAAATATTTAAATTAATTCTCAAAAAAGTTTTTTTTTACAATTTTCTTAAAATTTGTTGGAATATTTTTGGAGAATTTATTGTGAACAATATTGAAATGCTTTTTTGGATATATTTAGTATTTTTTATTAACTTATTTAAAAATTATTGTCGAACGGTTTTATAAATTCGATGCTGAGGATATTTAAATATTGTTCCAAAGCTTGTTTTGTACTTTACTTGTTGAAAGATTCTTTTTCATTTTCATCTTATGAAAACTAACTTTCCAGGTATTTTGAAATAATTTACGAACACGTTTTCTTCAAATTTTGCTTCTCAAAACCTCTTTTGAACTTTTTTCTTAGTTTTCGAAAATTTATTCTTTGGTTTTCTTTAAAAAATTAATTGATAATTTCAAAATATTTTCGATGACTTTTTTAAAAACTTTTCAAAAGTCTATTCTATGAAGTTTTCGTCAAAAACTTTTTATTTTTTTTAGTTTTCAAAGAATTATCGATAACTTACTACTCGTGTTTTTCGGCAACTTTCACAGAGATCGTATAATTTATTAACTTTTTCCCATTTATTATTGTTTCCTTAACTAGATTTTCTCACATTTCTTACTTCACCCGTTTTTAAAAACTTTTTTGACACTTTTTAAAAGTTTTCTCTTTTCTTTTAAATGTCTTGGTAATTTTTTCTCAATTGTTAGTAATATTATTTTTCTATCAATTACTACAATTATTTTTATCACTGTACTTTTCTTGCAAATCAATTTAATTTGTTTTAAGCATTTCTTTGTTTTCCATCAAATTCAACACTTTCTTGGTATTATCCGCACAACACGCTTAACACCGATTTTCTCAATTCTTTTTTTTTTTTCTTTCTATTTTTCCGCGAAAATAAACAAACACACACACATACATACATCAAACTCGCCGCTCCTTCGTCAATTCAACCGCGCATTTGTGCAATTATCCTTACGTATCCTTTGCGCGCTCACATTAGGAATGTGCACTAGTCTAGGTTTCACACTACTAGTAATTTTCCACAATGTCCAGCATATCCTGCGTGTCCCGCTTGTAGCTGTTGTATTGCATATGCAAATTTTATAGCACCATTTAGGTTTTGAAAATTTATACATTCACTTCTACGACATGAGTCGCCTGCCTATTAAATTCATATCCTTTTTATAACATCGTGCAGCTCCTACTCTCAGCACTTTGTATTACCGTACGTATATTTCTATATTCTTCTTCTTTGTTGGCATGGCATACATATATCCTTGCCGCTGGCAATTTCGTTTATGCGCTCCACTTCCGCTTTCGTTGATTATGTTAATACAATAAGTCGCATTCACGTCATTCAAGCCATGCCCAGGCGTTGACTGCGGCAATGGTCAGCAGTGGCAAAGTATTTAAGTTCAAATTTAACCACTTCTGCGATAAGGAGTATGCTGAGTAGCAGGATGTGCGAAATAATCTGTAAGTGTAGAAGAAAAAATTGAATAATTATTAAATATGTAAAAATATAACAGTTATTTAATGCTAATATTTTTCATAATAAATTTTTAACATTTTTTAAGTTTTAATTTTTTAACAGTTTTTTATTCCACAGTTTAATAACAAGAATTTTGCCTGATAATATGCAAATTTTAGTACGCCTCTCGGATGAGCGGCGTATTTATTTACATAATTTAAAAATTATTCAGTAAATTCCACCACGTCTTATGAACTTCTGTAAAGTCAGCATTTTTATGATACATAATTATCCTTGCGTACAGGTCAATGGCCGAATATGAGTAGTAATTTGCGAGGATAGGATAATGGAATTCTGCTAAAAAATTTTAATTTACAGTATTTTTTATTCTAAATATTCTGAATTAAATTTTTATATTTATATTTATATATATATTTTATTTATATTTTTTCATACTTAAATATTTTCTTAAATTTGTTTCCATTTGTTTTCATTTTTTTCTTTCTATATTTTTTCAAAAATTAAATTTCAGACAATACTTGAAAGTTTCTGAAGCAATTGCGAAAAGTTTCAAATTTTTTAAAAAATCTTTACCGTAATTCGAAAATTTGTATTTCAACCAATTCAGAAATTTTCGTACTTTTTTAAAAAGCTCTATCCGAAATTCTATCGATGGTATTTGATTTTACTTTTTTCTACTTTTTTCTTTCGTTTTTATTAAGCTATTATTAGGTAAAGTAAAATGTTCGTTCGGTTTTTATCTAAGAGATTTGCGTTATTGTCCATAGTACTAGTGCTATATGTCACATCATGTCATATTTTACGGCGCTGAAAACGTGTTTATTAATCTATAGAGTTTTTCAAAATTGTGCTCATTAGATATATGCATGTGTTCATGTTCTTTATTAAAAGATTTTTCGTTTGATAAAAAATTGAAAAATTTCATTTTTTCATTTTACTTGAAGTTTTTTCTCATTCGTTTAGTTTTCTTTGAAATAATTTTTCAGAGAGTCCAAAATACTTTCAAAATTTTCTGAATTTCTTGCGTATTACAGTTTTTAAAATGTTTTAAAAATTTCGAAAGAGTTTTGAAATTTTTTTAATATTTTGATGCCTTGTAAATTCGTTTTAATTGTATTTTACATTAATTTTAAACCTATTCCTAACATTATTTTCATTAAAAAAAAATTTCGATTTGTTCGAAATTATCAAAATGTTTGATATTTTGAAACTTTTAGGCTTACTTTTTTATTTATTTCGACAATTTTGGTAACTATTTTCTCTTTAGAAAATTTGAGAAATTTTAAAAATTTTTATATCTTCAAATATTTGTTTTTATTTTAATTTTTTTTTAAATTCCAGAACTGTTTAAAAATTTTTCTTCGATTTCTTTATAGAATAAAAGTTGGTAAAATATTAAAAAAAAAACCCATATCAGATTTTTTTTTTTTTTTTGATTTAATGCTCATTGTTTTTTAAACTTTTTGGACATTTCCTTAAATTTTTTGAAACCCTTGATTTTCATTTTTTGAATCTTTTTTTTTCCAAGGACTCAGCATTTCATTTGGTTGGACAAATTTGCTGTCATTTCTTCCGAGCTGCAATAAAAATTCAATATTATTGCTTGCGAACAACCGCAGCTGCAAACCATTTAGCCGAACAAACCGAACTCAACCGAGCCGAATGAACTCTACGCACATTGAAAACAACAAACATAGATAATAATAAAACAAACAAAAAACAAAAAAGTCAAAAACAAAAACAAGAATAACATAGAAACTGATAAGAATAGAAAAGAGAATTTTTTTTTGTTTCGATCATTGAAATCAAAACAACAGGAGGTCCTCGCAACCTAACAACAGCAGCAATAGATTGAACCACAAAACATGGCAATGTCAGTAACATAAATGTGATAGTTTTTTGAAGGAGCCGGATAAACAAAAAAACACACATATCCTCAAACCACAGACGGATGCGACTACTGAGCGGTCAGTTGGGCAATTTCTACGATAAGAAAAATATACAACAAACCAACAAGAAAGAAATGTATAATGGAGAGAAGACTGGTGGTATAGTGAGAAGTAGAGTGAGGAGGCTGTTAGAGGTGCTTATAGAATTTCAGCTTTAATGTCTACATTTCGTTAGATGGGCCAGCAAGTGAAGTGCATGCTTGGTTACAAAAACCAAAACAACAGACTGCCAAAAATCAACTATCCAATTTAGACGGGATAAATGTGCAAGTGGAAGGACACTCAATCCCACACAAACACACATACACACACACACACACATTATTGTTAGTTTGAAGAAAGTGAACACATATAACGGTAAACATTTTTCACAATCACTTGCTTGTGGCTTAGCTAAATAGGCTATGTACGAGCAACGCAAATGGCTTTGAGCAGATAAGGAGATGACTGACAAGAGCACTTTGGTTTCATGTATCCTAGTTGAGGCGAAAATTCAAAAGCTATAGAAAATATCAAGATTTTCATCTAAAGCACCTACATACTCAGACACACATGCATATGTATGTTTTGTAAACGTTTTGTAGCCAATACGAAGCTGTTTACGAGGAGGGGATCATTTATTGTAGTGGAAGAAAATGAGCTGGAGCTGACAGCTTAGATAGCTTGGTCGAAAACATTCCACACGATTGGAACCTAACAGTACGTTGCCCAATCACTAAAAAAATATATCCACTACAGTCTGCGCTAATTACTGTAGAACAAGCTACCTAAATATCGCATATAAGATCCTGTCAAGCATATTGTGTGTTAAATCAACCATTGACCATCCATCATCACCATGCATTAAGTCCTGGGAAATATCCGTGAAAAGTGGTTCGACAAACACCACCTCTTCATCGACTGTAAAGCAGGCTTCGACAGTACGAAGAGTAGTATTAGATGCAGTGGCCGCTGGTTGAGGCAGGTGAAGAGGAAGAGCTCCACCCAATTGGAAAAATCAGGTGGGGAGTGACCTGGTTTCACTTGGTGTTTCCAACTGGTGCCAAAAACAAGATGATGACAAGAAGAGTTAATACTAATCTAGTATTGATTCCGCTATAATAAAGAAAGCGGAAGAAGAAGCATTAAATAAACTTACAAAAAATTAAGAAAATAAAAAACATAATTGAAAATATAATAATGATGATAATGAAAATAAACAAAATAAAGAAAAATAATTTAAAACAAAATAAAATTTAATTTAAATTAATAGACCAAAAAAGTTAAATAAAATTAAATAGAGAAATATAAAATAAAATTAAATTAAATAAAAAAAAGGTTAAAATAAAATAAGTTTATTTAAATTTATAAAAACTTAACTACAATAAACTAAATTAATAAATAGAAAATATATCAGAAAATTTTTTTTTTAAATAATAATAAAAATTAAATTAAATTTAATAGAGAAAAATAAAATAAAAGTTAAATAAATTTAAAAAAAAAACTTAGCTACAGTAAACTAAATTAATAAATAGAAAATACAACAGACAAATAAAAATAATAATGTAACATATAAAACAAAAGAAAAATTTAGAATAACAAATTGAAAAAAATAAAAGCTTTGAAAATGTATAATAAATAAAATAAACAAAAAAATTAACATAAAATAATATTTTTAAAACCAAAATTAAATAAAATTAAATCAACAACTTCTCTCATCCAAAACTGTTGTTGTAAATTTTTTCACATGTTCCCAAAATATATGCATGGTCTGAAACAGCTCCATAAAACTAAAACCCAAAGGCAAAATGAAATTATAAAACAAAAATAAAAAAAATAAAATTAATTAATTAAAAAAAAATTAAATATTATAAATAAAATGAAATATAGAAAAGGAATAAAACTGAAAAAATCAGAAAAATAAAACAAAATAAAAATATGAATAGGAAAAAAAGTATATAAAATAATAACTAAAACAAAAAAAAAATATAATAAAATAAAAAAAATTAATTAAATTAAATATTAGAGGAACTGATTTCGCATCGACCAAAACAAATGCGCAGACATCCGTGAATATAAATTGAAAAAATATAATTAAAAGTATAAAAATAAAAATAAAATTATATTCAAAAAATATTAACTAAAAGAAAATAAAATTAATAAAAATAAAATGCAACAAAAAAAATTTATTTAATATTAATAACATAACAAAAACATATAAAACCAAAAATTTAATTGTAAACTCAAAAATTTATAATTTATATAAAATCAAAGTTTTAAAAAAATGTAAAAAAATAAATTTTCTTTTTGGTAATTTTTTAATTACACTTGACACGTTTCGTGATAATGTTGATTATGAATTTTTTCTTAACTTCTTCATTGATTTCAAAATAAATGCTTGCTTTCATACAACATTGCAAGTCCTTCCCTTGGTCTTGATAATTCCAAATTCTTGAAAGCACAATTATTGTCGCCGCAATCCATTTGTTGAACTACCACCGCAAGCCCAGCACTCAATAAACGCCTGCATCACCGCTTCGCCATCACCAACCACCCGACAACCGCCCATCATTAGCGACAATATAAAGATTTAACGCCCAAACCACTTCTTCACCGAGTTCACTGAAGCTTAAAATCTTATCCACACATTTGTCCTTGTGCGCAGCAGCAGCAGCAGCAGCAGCAGCAGTAGCAGCTGTTGCTTTAACAACTCATTTGCATAATCGCACCTCACCATCACCGCAGCCATGTGAACTATGCAGTATTTGCACCAATCAAATGTGAAGGAGTGTGGAGGCATTTGAATGAGTGAATTTCATGCAGAATTGAAATCATATAAATATCATATCATATATAAATATATATATATGTGTATAAATACAAATGAAATACCCAGCTGCCTGAAACGTTAATTGATTTATTTACCTGCAAATGATGCCAATGCAGAAACCAATACAAACTATATTGCATGCAAACACACCCGCGTGAGTGTATACACGTATGTGTGTGTGTGTTGCATATGCATAATTTTTATTTCTTAAGCCCACGAACGTC